TTCGAGAAAAAGTCGAGCCAGTTTGTGGTCTGAATGTTTCGAAGTGGGAAACTCTCGGAAGACAATTAAAAGGATAATAGCGAAGAACTGGTTTTTTTTTGGAAACAGACTTAAGGCTAAAATATGCAAATTAAGCGAAGGTGGTTGGAATTGAGACTATATAGAGATCGGGTGTGTTGAGATGGAGGCATGTCGAGCCTGATGCAGTTTACTTTGTGGTCTAGTGGTTTCATGTTGCACTGGGGTGTTAAGCGGGTTCTTGGGGTAAAATATTTTCGAAAGTCACTTCAGTTAATTACCTAGGTGTGAATATTGTTTGATCTCCTAAATAAAACTCATTAATTTTCCACGATTTAAGAGACGGTTTGAACTTCACATCTTGGTGTCTGGCGTCTTACGACAGATACTTCCTGACACATTATAGAAAGGGAAAAAAAATCACGGTTAACCTTTTCATGCCTAACGGTTTAACTCTGGGAAGGTGAGGAGGAGGATGCGTAAAAAAGTAAAATTCCGAGGTTGAGAGGCGATTGTAGTCAATACTCTAATGGTATCATCAATATGCTTGCTAGCGCACAATGATGAGTAGCGTGCGCTTAGCCTCTTTGGACGCTTTTCTTTTTTGTTCAATAAACTGCTTATTGTGTTCAACATAAACTACAGCAGGTGTTCACCAGAAAAACATTTTATTCTATTTCACTCGATTACAAGACCAAACCTTAAGCGAAGCACACTCTCCGAGGAATGAAGAAAACTTAATACGAACAAAAATGCTAAACTATAACTAATATATACGAAAATGGTCGATCGCAAGTAGCACAAAAGGATCTCGTAGTGCAAAGAATTCGAATGAACGTCATGATCCCACTGTTTAACGCGATTGTCTCCTGCTCAGCAGGTAGATGCAAAAAAAAAAGAATTAGCTAGTAGGACTGACACAATACTATTATCCCGAGATATTGAACTAAAGATACTTAATCTTTTGTTTATATATTACAACTCAGCCCTAAGACTTCATATAGCCTATCGTTGTTTCTTTTCACTGTATGATGTCAGTTTTGTCATGGAAATATTTAAGTCTTGATC